TGGTATTCCACCAGACCGATCTAAGGCTATAAAAAGGGCTGCTAGGAAGGGGGCCCACCACTGAGGAAAAGTCTTAATAGTCTCAGGTGGAATAGCATCAGTCCCTGGAGCTTTTCCCAATTAAAGGGCTGCAATTAAAGATTCAGTCTCCTCAATCTGCACAGGGGCCCAACTGGGGCGATCGTCCAGACAAATGTCAAACTCCTCTTCGGGATTGTGTTTGGTCTCCTGGAAAATCATTGTAAAATAATTGTACCAGCCATTGGCTGTAACTAAGCTGTTTACTGACCCCTTTCTTCCCATAGACTCGGCTACCAAGGCCCAAAATTTACTTGAATCATTATTAATTGTGGCCTGCAAGAGGGGTTTCCAACTTTTAATCAGAAAAAAATTCTGCTTCTACTTACTAAGATGGTGCCTTTTTAGATTTGAAGTATTCTGGAGGGGGTTGTGCTAAATTTGACCTCCTATAACATTGGTAAATCTCACGTAAGTGATTCTTCATCACCTGACATTCATTGTTGAACCACCCATGCCTAAAGGCTTCCCCACTGCCCCTTTGTTGCTTTATTTGTAGCCTCATGATCCCGGAGAGGTTGTTAACAAGCTTATCATAAAATGAGATCCATTCTAAAGACATATTCTCAGATAGACTTACAAACTTATCTAAATTACTAGGAACCAGGAGCTTGGCGGTCATTTCCACAGCCCTCTGTGACCAACTAACCCTAGGTAGCTTTGGTGACACACTGCCACCTTTAACTCTCAGACAGCCCCTCCTACTGACAGAGGCACCCAAACTCAAAGTCAATGGGAGATGGTCACTTTCAGGTCATTCAGAGATTGCAAAGGCCTTCAACTCTTCCCTGAGGGCTGGTGAGATTAGCATGTAGTCCAGAATTGAGCAAGATGTACACCAGCCTCGTTAAACGTTTGATCTTTAGAAAGCCTCAGTTCAGAAAGACAACTAGGGATAGTCTCAGGGTCAAGCCTCATCTTCCCAGCCAACACTCCATTATTCTGCCCTACCCAGGCATTAGAATCACCAGCAATCAGTAAGTTTGAGGTTGAGTAATTCTGCTGTAACCCTTCTAGATATGAGAAAAGCTTCTCCCAACAATCAGCCATAGGTTCCTTTGCTAAACCTGATGGCAGGTAGATATTAATTACAATTGCAGATTTTCCTGGGCTCTTTCGCGTACAAGCCTGCCCTGTGTGACCACAATCACTTAATGGGCAGCCTTCCCAATTTAGACTGCTGGCCCAGAGTATAGCTAAGCCTGCCTAAGGATGACCAAAATGTTTCATTTTAAAGGCACATAACGAATGGATGTTCGACGTGGTCTCTGTGCTTCACACCCATGGGACACACCCACGCGATAGATCGATCGGCATTGTAGCAAGCTTTTTAACGGATTTTCGCTCCCAGACCTCGGGCATGCGCAGGAGCCCCACCGCGCATGCCCAGAGGGGAGGGCGCGGACATCCCGCCAGTTCCTTTCTTACTGCTGCGTTGGAAAGACCTTTTCTCCGTCAGTCTCATTGGTTACGCTTTTTTGGGCTCTTGCCTCACGGCTCTTCGGATTTTTTCCTCAGTTTATTCTTTTTTCCTTAATCTTTCTCCATTTGTTCTTAAAAAAATAATATATATATATATATATATTTGTTTTCTGCTGAGGGGGAAGTTACCGCTGTACCCCAGTTTGGCCTTCGGGCTCCCCCCTTTTTTCTTCTCAACTTTATTTTTATGGAGAAGAAGTGGGGCTTTTTTAACTGTTGTAAGGGTTGCGGCAGTAAACTTGCTCCACCTGACCGCCACACCCTTTGTATTTTTTGTTTGGGGGAATATCACCGACTTGAGTCCTGTCGGCACTGTGTTCGTTTTCGAACCAGACAAGGAAAAATTGAGCTGCGTGCCTTAAAGTGGCACTCCTTGAGTCGGCATTACACCCTCCCTCAATCATGGAGTCCGAGAAGCCTTCAACATCGACGGTTCCGGCATCGAGGCCTTCCTCTGATATCGCTCATCCGACATCGAGGCCTCTGGCATCAAAGGCACAATCCTCCGCTTCCATGCTGGTGAAAAAGAAGTCCAAACCAAGTAAGGAGCACAAGTCCGCAAAAAAGGGCTCCTCTAAGTCCCTAAAGGCGGCAAAGAAGGGGAAGGTAGTGGTGTCTGCACTGGGTGATCCCCTAAAGTGCCTCCCGCTCCAACGGCAGTATCAATACCGGAGGCCCAAGCCCCTCCACCGATACCGGCCATTCAACTATTGGACTCCCCTATACACCAATTGGAGCGTCCTTACTCTGATAGCGAGGCGGTAGAGCTCCTAAGTCATCAGATGGATGCAGAGCCTTCTCCATCTCCTTCCCCGTCGTCCACATCGACGGTATCGGAGGCTCCCGACATCAATTCCCGTTGGAATCAACATACTTCTAACAGCACGCAGTGTCGCCCTCCACATCTGCATGTTCAATCTGTCAATATCGACGGCCAGGATTATAGGGACTACTTTCAAAGGCAGGCTGCCGCCTTGTCTCCGAGACGTCCACGGTCCAGAAGTCGATCCCCCCGAGTCTTTCTACCCCCCCCCACAACCTCTGTCTTCGGGGTCAGGGCGGTTTATAAGCCGAAGGTATAAATAAATAAATAAATAAATAAAATATAAACAAACCAGTGTATTGGATATATTAAACTGTTTCTCTTTCATGGTTCTCTAATTGTATAATCTAGTGATTGTATCATTTTATAGCGGTCTTTATTCTGGTGTCTCATTGTATCTCAGTGAGAAAGGTGGGTGCTAAATGAAGTAAGTAAGAAAGCTGGTTGAGGGATGCCAAAGAGCTATACAAAGTATTGAAGTGATAATTGCCAACCACAGAAAATTGTCCTCAGTTTCCCCTCATTTATGAGATTTTGCTAAACATTGCCCACATACTTTCAATTGTAACTTCATTTTTCCATTTTAAGGGTTAGGAATTTTTGAAACAGTTGTGATTCCCAGGATGGTAAATTATGTTTCTGGTGCCACATACTGCACTCATATCATATGGGTTCAGAATATATAATTCCTGAACATAGCACTAGGGGTCTGCACAGAGTATTGACATACCCTGTTTTAGAACTACTCTAGCTTTTGAAAGTGACACACAGCCATTTTCTATATTAAACCTGCTTAACAACCACAGTAATTATGTGTTGCTATACTCTTTCTCCTGCCAACCTCTCTATTATCTATGCAGAAGAATGCGGTAACTTCATTTCTCTTTTGGCTAATACTAAACTACCTATCTTGAAAACTACCTTTCTTGATACAACAACAGAAACTGCGGCATTCAGAGTCCTTGAATATATTGGACACATACACAAACATATAAAGAAATGTGCATTATTGTGTCACATGTCTTACTTTTGTTTTAGATAAAGGGATTCTGCCCCCCACATTGCCAGGCCTACTTTTTCTATTGATGTAATTGTCTTGCTTTTTCTGCAATAACCAGCTAAAACTACCTGAATTAGAGATAGGCACAAACCCCAAAAAAGTGGTTTGGTCTGGGGTGGCTCCCAAACCAAACCCCAAACTGATCCAATAGGGTCCCACTCAGCTGGTCTGGTGAGTTTTGTTCCCCATTTCAGCCACAACCAGGGAGAAAGGGTGTGGGAACTGCCCTAGAAGGGACTTCCCTTGGGGCCATGGTAAATGTGGTGGGACATCTACATGTTCAGAAAAATCTCAGATCTTTTAAAAAAATGTGTGGAGGGGGATTTACAGAAAACTCAAAACAGTTTTGAGGCAAGTTGTGAGCCCTTGTCACTGCATGAGTCAGGCAGGCAGTTTGGCCAGTGAGTGGGTGGCCCAGAGAGTGAGTGAAGGGGAATGAAAAGAGATGTGATGACCCCATATGTCTTGTGGATGACCCACTTGTAAAAATATAGTAGTGTCCAGGGATCATCAGAGCTGTTAGAACAATTCTCATGTTAAATTTTCTGAATTTTCTATACATTATTCTCAAATTTCAAGAATTGAATTGATCAGGAACTGTTCTAAAATATATCTTATAGACTTCAGTCCACTACATTGATTTTTATCTTTACTTTTCTTAACCAGAGAGCTCTTCTTGAATTCACAGAGTTCTCAAATTAATGTGAGATTGTGAAGCACTTAGATCACCATTGCAATAACATGGTTTTTATGTATTTGGAATTGATAATAAGTCACTAAAGTGAAGCTTATTCATTTTTTCTTTGTGGTCAGTATGTCAATACAGAATTAACAATCAGTTAATGTTATGGTAGGCACCAGATCAATAATTTTTCATTTGAGGTCTAGGATTAAAAGAATTTGAGAAAAAATATATATTTTCCAAATACTGTAAACATGGTACAACCTTTACTTGTTGTGATCCTAAACATCAGCAGCTTGCTGTTTTTACTTATTTTGATAATAGTATAACAACTTTGCACCTATATTCACCTTAAGACAATTTAAAATGGTATACTCATATATTTATGCATGTGCATGTATTTAGTAACTCTATTAGGGGGATATTCCACTCTATTTGGGGTGGAATATAAAGCCCTTTGATTCTGTCTGCTGATAGTCTAGTCTTTTTTATGTTCTATGTAAAATACTTTTATAGTACCAAATGGAAGTAGGAAGCAATCTTGTGATGTTCAGTTTGTCTTGTACCCCTGAGAGTGAGAGACAGATACTTGTAATGTAAGATACTAGGAATAAAAAGACATCTTTGAATGGGGCAAACCCTATGTCATTCTACAGTGAAATCACTGAATACCCAGAATTTGTACTGTGAATGATTTACTAGTAGCTGTGATCACCAGAGTATGCCTAGGAGTTCAAATGATGACTGTACCAAAGTAGATACATGAAGATTTTTGTGCTTGAAGTTTGTAGTCATTAAGGAAGCCACCATTATATAACAAACTTTTACTGCAAGGTAAGATTTTGTAATTATTGTTATATTTGTTTTAATTTTAGAATCCTGGTTTGAACCGGTGGAGAATGTTCTCATAATTATCACCATGGTATTGGCTACTATTTTTTATTGGACTCAGTTAGGTGTTGTTGGTAAGTTCTAAGTTCTTTTACAAAAATTGGAATTTTGTTAAAATATTTTGCATGCATGTAACAAAAGAGTAAAAGAAATTCTGCATCATCATTTGTTTCCGGATCAAAATATCATTGTTAGCAGTGAAATATTTCATTGGTCCCAGTAGATGAAACAAAGGTAACATATCTCCCACTTCTTTTTTCCCCCTAGAGAATTTGAAAAGGTTATTTTGTACAGAACCCTGACCTGAATAGTCCAGGCTAGCCCAATCTCATCAGATATCAGAAGTTTAGCAGGGTTGACCCTAGTTAGTACTTCGATGGGAGACCACTAAGGAAGTCCAGGTCTACCGTGCAGATGAAGGCAATGGCAAACCATCTCTGCTGACCTCTCGTCTTGAAAACCATATGGGGTTGTCATAGGCTAGCTGTGACTTGAGGTCACTTTCCACCACCATTTTGTACAGCTGTGTTCAGTTAAGAAAAAGAGAGATTTGGGTGTGAACAGTTGGGATTTGTGGAAAAACTTTTTCTAGATGACACTCCCAAGTTATGGATCTCCCTCTCCCAAGAAGTGTGATTGGCATCATCTTTACAAGGCTTTTTGACATAAGGTGAAGATATTTTTACCCTGGGTGGCCTTTAAAATGCAGTTGTTTGCCTGAGGCTTTCATATTAATGGTTTTATGATATGCCATTATTAGCTCTCCTGAGTGCTTCTTGTGCAATGGAAAAGCCACAAAAATTAATTAAACTAAAATACATCAACAAATTGAAAAGCATCAAAGAAAAGCAGTGATCCATTCTTTTTTCCATTTTTCTTTTTAATTAAAGTTCCAACAAACTATCTTCTCCCTGCTCCCCCAGTCCTTCCTCCATACCACTACATTTCTTTGACTCCTACTCTCCTAATTCTCACATTACATTTCAGAAGAAGCTCTTTGACTTTAATAAACACATAACAGTAATGCAATGTGTAGCCTCCCCATCTGTGATGCTGTATTAGGAAGAATTACACTTTTTAGAGGTTCAAAGCTTCTGCTAGGAATTCTGCTAAGAATAATGTGAGTTCTAGAAGATGGAGAAAGACATACTGCAACTGTTCAGATCTTTTGGTATCATTTCCAGGTGTCTGCTGCTAAAAATAGCTGTGAGGGTGGGGGCTGCAATCTCAGAGCCAATCCTCAGTTCCAGATGTGGAGCAGACTTGTGAGAGCTCGGTAGATGGTAGTAATAGGATTCCCATTCAGTACTGAATTACATTTGTCTCAATTTTGTGGTATTCATCAGCGTATGAATGGGCTGAGTCTTCTATTTACGAGGTTTAATAGACAAGATTTATTTGTCCAATTCGTTCTTAAAAATTCCACTTGCCTTGGTACTCTAGTGTAAGCACTTGAGAACTCTGAGCATTATTTATAATGTGTAATTTAAAATGTCACTCATGGACCAGTGCCTTTGTACTAGTCAATGTGAACTTTGAGGGAATTTATAATGCAAGACATGGATCTTCATAGCCCACTAATCACTTTAGACATCAGTTTATACACAGTATATATTATTAAGCTAAAAACAGTCCTATTGTGCTACAGAATACTTACATTTGTGTGATGTAATGTTTCATGGGGATGTTAACACAGTGTCTCTGAGCATTATTTTAGGGCACTCTGATTCCATAAGCATTCAGTATGGTAACAAAGGCTCATCCTGAGCATTTCCAATTTATTGCTGTGCTTCAGAAGTAAACAAAAAGCAACTGCATTGGTATATTAGAAAACTTGGCTATAGTAAGAAGAAATTACTATTAACTGTTCAAGCTTTTAAATGCTACTCTTTAGAATTGTACATACAAGATTGCTTTCTCATTCATACCAAAAATCATACTGTGTATTTTCTAATTCATGCTTCAGCCACAATGAAAATTTTGGAATAAAAATGCACCTGATAGTTTGTTAGAAGAGCCTAAGGCAGAACAGAGCTCAGCTGGTGATAGTGAGCTTACGATTTTTCTAACTTCCTCTCTTTGGAAGACTCCCAGACTGCTACGTAAACCTATGAACTAGCAGCCTTTGAAATGAACCACTTCTGTAGTGATGTTAATTTAACTGAATTTTTTAAAGTACAAGCATGTTCAGTTGAAGTGGAACGCAAAATTTAGGGTCTGAGCTTTCTCATACACGAATTTGATTGAAGGTGAATTGAACTCTATGTAGAGTACTTATAATTTGAAATAGAATCATAAAAGTGCCTGAAATAAGTGCTTGACATAAAAGTGCATGAAAAGAAATCTTTTTTCTTTTTTTTTTGCTGATAAAAGCCAGTGTTACATAGCTGACAGCAATACAAAAATTGCTGGAATGTACTGAGTCCAAAGAGGCCTTGAGCTAGCATGTCAGACATTTAGGCTCTATCAGACAAAATGCACAAAGCATGATTTGTTTGTGAAATGAATGAGCCTCAAATTCCCTTCCACCATCTTACATACAAGAAGCTGCAACTGAAGACTTCCTGCGTTAGAAAATGTTTGGTCTCATTACAGTTTTTTGAGATGTCCACATTTAAAATTTGCCTTAACCTCTTGGGGTTTATTTTCCTGTAATAGATTCTAAACCAAGAGTAAACAAAGCCCAAATTTGTTTAAGATGCTTGCATTTGGATGTCACAACAAATTAGATTTAGAGATGTTCAATACTTCTTGATGCTTTTTCTTCCAACAGGCATAGTTTAAAATCTATATATTTATTTTTAATTTTCTGATTTTTGATTGTTTTTAATTTATTTTGTTTTTCTTTAAGCAACGAAATATGACATCTCATTACTAAAGAAGATCAGCTTAATTATTGCAGGACTAATAGTCACAATTGCTGCTGTGATTGGCTGTATTCTTTTAGTCCCAGGTAAGTGTCGAAAAATAAGATGGCTTGACATAACAGTTTCTGAAATAAAGTACTTTATCCCATAGTTTTTAATGTATGTATTATAAAGGAAGAAGGTTCTGTATTGCATGGTCAGAGGGGAAAGATCTTGTATTCAAATAAATGTTGAAAATGTGTTCCCTTTTACATAAGAGTAGGCATGGGGAAGGAGGGGAAAGGATATTTGCAAGCCTAATGTCTGTTTCCAGTTTTGCCTGTGGTGAAACTCCAGAAAGAAGCATTGTTTAAACGTGACCTAGATTTGCATGGGCAGAATTTGGCAGACTTCCACTTGGGCAACTGCAGGCCCTTTGAAGAAAACTCTAGGCTTAACCATTGCTAATATTGAGCTGAGTCAGGTTGGGTAAATGAGTTGGGTAGCAACTCTGGGCATGGTTATAGTTCTGTCTAGGGGTGTGCAGCAAAAATAAAAAAGATTTTTTTTGGATCCAGATACATTGGAGCTGGAAAATATGGGTATTCCTGGTTTTCTGAATTCCAAATAGCAGTATGATATTTGGATCTTTTTTTAAAAAAAGTTTCTAATACTCGGCTCCATTATTCCCTATGGGGAATCTGTTGTTTTTGAAGGTATTGGTGGGGTGGGGTGTTTTTGAAGGTATTGGCATCAAAATTTCAGGGGAGCTGCTGGTGCGTGTTCTTTAAATAACCCCCAGAGTTTAAGTCAGGTGTATCACAGGGTCCAATTCTATAGGTCCCTGAACAAGGTGCCCCCAACTGTCCTCCATTGTTTCCTATGGAGGAAACCCGTCCCCCCCCAATAATCTGAGAACCTTGGGAAGGCTATTGCAAACTATTGCTAAACCCAGCCAATATAAAACCTGAGAATCTGAAACAATATAAAATGTGAAAATCTTGACATGTAAAATTCAAGGGTCTTGACCTATGTAAAACATGAGAATCTAGCCCCACCCCAAACCCCTAGCACAAACCAACTCCCGCATGAACCTAGTACAAACCAACTTCAGCAAAGAATTAACTTTTTAAAAAACAGAAAATAGCATTTGAAACTGGCAGAACCTTTCTTAAAGCAGCCTGACAAGCCAATACCAAGCCCCGGGAGACATAGACACACAGGGGGGAAAGAAGGGAAAAAAGGGGGAGGATCAGCCTAGGGTGCCTGCAAGCGCTGGCTTCTGATATTTCTGGTTAATCCTGGATATTTCCAGGATTTTGGGGGACCCAATTTTTGGTATCCTAAGAACTAAGAAGAGCCCTGCTGGATCAGACCAATGGTCCATCTAGTAGAGCATCTTGTCTCATACAGTGGCCAAGCAATTCCTCTGGATGGCCAACAACAGGGCTTAGAGGCTGAGGCCTTCCCCTGATGTTAACTCCTGGCTCAGAGATTGAGAGGCTCAGTGTCTCTGAATGTGGAGGTTCCCCTCAGTCACCATGGCTAGAAGCCATTGATAGACCTATCCTCCATAAATCTATCTAATCCCCTTTTAAAGCTGTTTATTCCTGTGGCCATCACTACATCCTCTGGCAGCAAATTCCACATTTTAATCACTCTCTGTGTAAAACAGTATTTTCTTTTGCCTGTACTGAACTGCCCATCAGTTTCATTGGATGCCTTTGTATTCTATCCTGAAAAATCCTGGTTATATTTGAGAGACCAATAAAGTGTTTTTTAAATATATATTTGGCTTGGTTATATCTGAGTGAACGTCCCTAGTTCCAACTGTTTTGAAAAAGCCCATTATGAGAGTGTTCACGAAGAAGGCATCCCTAGACCCAAATGTCCTAAACAACTACCACCCACATTCCATTCTTAGACAGTATGTTTGAGCAAGAGGTGGTCTTGAAGGATTTTCTAGACCCTGGGTTTGGGACAGAAATAGCCTTAGTCACCCTGACTGCTTATGTTTGCCAGGAGATTGACAGTGATATTACATCCTTTTTGATTGTCTTGGATATATCAACTGATCTCAGTACCATTGATCATATAGTATCCTTTGAAGAAGGTGGCTGGACTGTGAGAATTTGGGCACAGTGCTTCACTGATTCTGCTCTCACTTGACTGGCTGATTCCAGAAGATAGTGCTGGAGGATTACGGCTTGGACCCATGATATGTATACTCTGGGTCTTGCAGGGATCCATCTTGTCCTCCATGCTGGTTAATATTTGCTTGAAACCAGAGGGAAAGATTGTTCAGGCTTTTGGAGTGATGCACCAGCAATATGCAGATAACATCCATATCTGTTTTTACTTAACAGCGAATTGGGTGGGTCTGTGGAAGTCTTGAACAGGTGCCTAGACTGATTGGATAAATGAGACCCAATAAACTGAAACTTAGTCCTGACAAGGAGGTGCTGTTGGTTAAACCACTTGAGGGCTGAATAGACTGTTCTGAAATATACAGTGGAAATAATATACAGTGGAAGAAATAATTAGATTTGGAACTTATTCCGGATATAAATTGAATAAAAAGAAGACAAAGATAATGTTATAAGTGGCAACCAAAGCAGAAGAAGAAGAGATAGAAAAAATAATAGAATGTGTTGTGACTATAAAATCAATAAAATATCTGGGAATATATGTAACAGAACAAAATGGTAATCTTTATAAAGATAATTATCAGAAAGTTTGGGGAAGCATTATTGAAGATGGAAAAAGATGGAAAAGATTGAAAATTTTGTGGTTAGGAAGAATTTATGCAGTCAAAATGAATATAATTACCAAAGGCCCCTGCCACACGGCAGGGAAAAGACGGGGCGAAGCGCGGCTTTTAAAAGCCGTGCCAAAAAAGAAACGCCTCGGCGGGATCCCACGGATCCTGGTTGCTGCGCTCCGTTGCTCCCCGGCACGATCAGATGCCGGGGAGGAAGACACTAGTCGGAGGGGGAGGCTGCCGTACTGCGCATGCTTGAGCATGCGCAGTATGGCAGGGGACCGGGGATGCGACGGCGGAAAGACGCGCCGCCGATCCCACAGCCAGGATGAAGCGCCTCAACCGGATGAACCACCGAAGTAGGTGGTTCATCTTTGACGCGCTTCATCGGGGGAACGGCCAGGTTGGAGGCGGGAGTGCGACGCCAGGCAGATGTTGCTGTGGGATCGCGCCCGTCTGATGCGCCTCCAAACCGGCCCGCTCCCGGCCCAAACTGCCTTGTATGAATGGGGCCCATGTTGACTTTTTTGTTTCAAACATTACCAATTTGAATAGATGAAAATATTTTTTAAAATGGCAGAAAATGATAAACAACTTTGTTTGGAGTGGAAAGAAGCCAAGAATAAAATTTAAAGTATTAAAGGATGAAAAAAGAGGAGGTTTAGCTGTACTTGATATTTGTATCAAGTTATATCGCCAAGCAGCCGCACCTCAAACTCAAATCAAAGGAATGTTAAATTGGAGATCGTTGATATTAAAGAAGGAATATGTAATTACCTATGGATTAAGAAATCACTACAGATAATTCAGATACAAGATGGTAATCGTATCTTGAGGGATGGTCTATTAAGGATATGGTTTAAGTGCAGAAATAAAATGTCCGCCAACTTTGCCATTGACATCCCCAGTTGATGTTTATTGTGACAATAATACAAGAAAGAAAATTGACCATATAACTCATGAGTATGTGATGGATAAACAAGGAAAAATAAAATCCTGGCAAGCAGTTCAAGATGAAAGAAAAAATATTCCGTGGTTGTTATATCATCAAATGGTATCCAAATTCAAAGAACAAATAGCTAAAGAAGGGGGTTAACAAAGAAAACGACTTTTGAACAATTTGTCACCGGAGATCCTATTCGGAAAAATTTATAAAATGTTATTGCAATATGACACTGAAACAGAGCAAATAAAAAACTGTATGATAAAATGGATGCAAAATTTTGGAGAAAATACACATGACTCTGGAAAAATCTATGAACTAATGAAATTAAGTTTACTGAATGTCAAATATTCAGGGAGAATTGGTATAAAATGTTCTTTAGATGGTATATTATCCCTAAAGATATAGTGAAGACAAATAAAGACTATTATGAGAAGTGCTGGAAAAATACAGATGCAACATGTTATCACATGTGGTGGACACAGAGGTCATTTTGGGGGGAACGCGGGGGAACGCAGTTCCCCCGGGCGAAGTGCAGGGGGCGGGGCACACGATGAAGTCCCGCCCCTGCTTCTGGCCACCCTGCTTCCAGCCCTCATTCAGCCAGGAGGAGGCAGGAGAAGAGGGAGGGTAAGTTGCTTCCTCCCCGCCTCTCCCCACTCCTGCCTGCCTGGGGCCAGGGAGGGCCTTGGCGGGGCTTCCTCGCACTTCCGCCGGCCTTGCAGGTCCACCGCCAGGCCCCTGATGTCAGGGGGTGTGGCATATGTTAATGAGTTATGCTAATGAGTTCCCCTAGCTCTTTTTCTACGAAATGACCCCTGGGTGGACATGTAAGAATATTTTACCAAGCAATATTACAAAAATAAACAGTGAATTATTTAAATATACGGCAAGGGTGGCAAGAGGAATATTTGCAGCAACATGGAAGGCAGTGAAATGTCTAGACCTGAAGGAATTGAAGAATAAAGTAAATGAATGTGCAACAATGGTAAGATTAACATCTTTTATACATAAAAAAATAAGAGAAGCCAATGTTGGATCAGGCCAATGGCCCATTTAGTCCAACACTCTGTCACACAGTGGCCAAAACTACCAGGTGCCATCAGGAGGTCCAGTAGTGGGGCCAGGACACTATAAGCCCTCCCACTGTTGCCCCCCCAAGTAACAAGAATATAGTGCATCACTTGCCCCAGCCTGAGAGTTCCTATCTATACCTTGTGGCTAATAGCCACTGATGGACCTCTGCTCCATATGTTTATCCCGTTCCCGCTTGAAGCCGTCCATGCTTGTAGCCGCCGCCACCTCCTGTAGCAGTGAATTCCATGTGTTAATCACTCTTTGGGTGAAGAAATACTTCCTTTTATCCATTCTAACCCGACTGCTCAGCTTTTATCTATTCTAAG